TAGCCAGCGATCAGTCATGTCTTATCATGCATTAGTATTTGCATTGTAAATGGAATGCAGACATTCCATTTGTAAATGCAGGCATTGTAAATGGAATTCAAGCGTCTGAACAGCTTTTGGCTTTCAATTTTGGCTTTCAGTTAAAAATGTTTCCTATTACCTCACTTGATTGTAATACTAAAATACGTTTTTGTGTGATGGAAGAACATTTTTACTCTTAATCTTCTGACTTTGCATCCTTTTTGTACTTCCACTTGATTAAACCTTTCCAGCAAATCTTCCAGTCAGTACTATTTGAATGTCTGTCAGACAATGTTTCCCCCTATCCTCTCCCATGCCTTCGTATTGGCCTATTTTCTGTCTTCTCTTTTATTAATTCCAGGAATAATGGTGTATTCCACATTATGTAATTACTATTTACAGAACCAGGGGGTGATGAAGAGGCTGTTGTTTGTCAGGAAATCCCTGGCTTGAATTTCTCTTCTGCCAGGAACAAAATCTGAGTCTGGTGGCACCTTAAAGACCTACAAATTTTTTCACAGTATAGTCTTTCATGAGTCGGAATTCACCATCAGATAACTTCATATGTGAGGAAGTGAGCTGTGAGTCACAAAAAACTTATACTCTGAAAAAAGCCCCTGGAAAAAGTGCTGACTCTTGTTTTTAATCACTGGCTTTTGTATGGTGGCCTGACCTGGATGGCCCAAGCTAGCCAATCACAGAAGCTAAGCAGGCTTGACCCTGGCTAGCATTTGGGTGGGAGACCACTAAAGAAGTCCAGGCAAGGTCATGACACAGAGGCAGGTAATGGCAAACTACCTCTGAAAGCGTCTTGCCTTGGAAACCCTACAGGGGCCCTGGTCACACTAGCAGGATAATCTGCAGGGGACGGGAGGCTTTTTGAGCTGGAGCAAAAAGACGCGTGGTAGCGTGATCTCACCTTCCCCCGAGGCAACGTGCCCAAGCCTCCGGCAGCAATCACACCACGCGAGATAACACAGCAGCAAGGCGTCTGTGCGCATTCGTGGGATGCCGATGGACGCTGGCTGCGACGGGCTACCACCGCTTCCTGATCAGATGCCTGCACATGCCGCACGTTATCGGGAAACTAGTACATGGTTCTCGGTAGCTTTTAAATCCGCGTCTTCGGGCCGAAGCTGCGGATTAGAGACGGGAGTGTGAAGTTTTCCGGATGTTCAGGTATGATCGCACAGCTTTAATCCGCAGGCAAGCCGTCCCTCCCACGGGGCAAATTCGCCGTGTGAATGGGGCCATAGTTGCCATAAGTTAGCTGTGACTTGACGGGAAATCTCCCCCCAAACCAAGTATGGCGTGTGCGCCTTCAGTGAAGTCCTCTTCAGTGTATATTCATGAAGGAGGATTAATCACATTTTACGAACAGCAGCTCATGTGAGAAGAAGAGAACTAGGTTGGTATAGTGGTTAGAGTGTCTGACTGGGACCAAGGAGACCAGGTTCAAGTGTTTACTCCATCAGAAAGCTCACTGGGTGGTCTTGGGCTGGTGACTTGCAGGGGTTGGTGTGTGGATCAAATGAGAGCTCCTTGGAGGAAGGATAAACAGCACATTTATTTACTGAAAACATATCCCACCTTTCCACCCAGATAGGGTACCCCAAGGCATTAAAACATTTGAAACATTAAAACAGCATTTATAAGATATATATGTAAAAATATTTAACAATACAATAAAAACTCATATTTATTTATTTATTCCATTTATACCCCCCCCTCCCCTCCAAGGTAGGCTCTCGCACACACAAAACTAGCTCAGCTGTCTAACACTCTTAGAGAGCACAAAATCCCAAAGTCAGAGGCCAAAGCACAGGCGTGGTCTACGTTGCTATACAAGCAGGTCATAGTTTAGGCCTTTAGTCCATCAGGATCTCTGGTAGTCTCTCTTCTTCAGGGCCTTAGCTGAATTATAGTTTTTGGCCCTGCAACATCAGGAGAGGATGGCATCCAATTAGAACACATTCTCAGGAGAAGCCTCTAGAAGATTAACTAATCACCCCTGACCTTCTGCCCTCCATCCAACAGGCTGCTAATTGGGCCATTTCTAGCTCTGATAGGGTTGCCAGCCTCCAGGTGGGGCCTGGAGATCACCTGCGTTTACAACTGACCTCCAGCTGACAGAGATCAGCTGGGGGAACTCTATGGCACTGTAACATGCTGAGGCCCCTCCCCTCCCCAAACCCCGCCCTCTCCTGGATCCACCCCCAAGGTCTCCAGGTATTTTCCAAATCAGACCTGGCAACCCTAAGCTCTGGCCTTGAAGATAATAAGGCTAAGAGACCAATTAGTAACACCTGCAAGATGGACCAGGCCTGTTACTGTTCACATTAACCCCTGAGGGGGTGAGGCCAGGGGTGCTTTGCTTCACAGGGGGGATATGGGATCCCCCCCCCACAAGTCTTGCAGGCCTTCCCTTGTAGTTTTCTATTTTCAATGGTTTTCAAAAGAACTATTACTTAAGAATCAAGATGGATGGATGACTTCCGGTCTATGGAACAGCGATGGCGGACGCTCTTCCCACACCGCAGAGCCTTTGTGATAGGCTCCAGGCCAGGGGGCTTTTGAGGGGTATCCTCTTCAATGGCATAATGCCAGAGAATTGAGGCTCCCCTCTGCCCCGACGGTCCAGTCGCTGAGTGGCCTTCGGGCATAAACTGGACTGACCGGGACAAGCGCCGGAGATCAAGCGGAATGGCATAAAACTGAGCGTGGTCAAAGAAACTGACCAACAATGAACGTGAGTTCTGAATAAAACGGAGTAGTTTGAAAAGCGATTCCCCCCCTCCCCCGCGGTTGAAAACAGTGATAGCAAAGAGGGATGCCTCTTGTGCGAATGAGCAGCTAACGGACATGAAGGGGGAGAGGGGAGGAAGTAAACCAAAAGTGTTTTGAGAGACTTATCTAAATCGCGAAGTCGTTTGGGGAGTTTTCCGAGATGTGTGGAAGCGGCAGAAACTGTAAACAAAACAGAAAAGATGGCGGTCCAGCAGAGAAAGTTTAAAACAAAGCCGGGCAGTCAGAGTCCGAGACCGGAAGAGGGAGCAGATGTCCTCAAACTCCTGGCGGATATGCTCAAGCCGGTGATGCAGCAACTCGATGGTATTAACCAGCAATTGACCGTGATGAATAAAAACTTTGCAGCACAGCAGCTTCAGCTGAATGAAACAGAGAAAAAAGTGGAGCAGGCAAATGAGAAAATTAAAGAGATAGACACCACAAGCAAGAAGTTGAAGAAAAGGCTGGGAGATGTGGAAACAAA